TTGGATAGCACTGGACTTCGCACATTGCATCTGATTGTTGTGGCTCCAACCATTTTACAAATATATATATATATACTTGTTTGTATTAGATATATATATATATGTAAATCTGTCTTGTCCTTTGCTGGCCTCATCCGCCTCCATGCGCCATACAGCGATGTGACTTTGCGCTCCGGCCACGACAAAGCCACCCGCAAAAGACTGAATGCAGGAGGCAGGTAGCCCGGCAAGCACTTGGCCAAATGGACATTCGATGTGGCAAACGAAGTATGGAACCTGGCGACATGATGTGGGTTGAGCAGTTCAGTGAACATGGTTTAAAAAATGAAACCAATGAGACACATTGTCAGTTTGGGGATGAGTCTCATCTCAGGGGACGGAGATGTTCAAATGTTTAGACAGGGGATAGCCTGAGCCTGCTACGACATATCTCAGGATGCTTGGAGCACCAAAGAAAGTATGGTTTCAATTCGGATTTTAGACTCACGATCTTCTCAGGGAGTCAATAGTAGCTTCAAATGTTTCAGCATGCTCCTCACAAGCGGTGCTACTGTAAATCAAGTTATGCTTGAAGCTTTTTCAAAAGTGATCAACAAGGTCCAGTCATTCCACGTGAGAAAAGAAAGATCTGCAATTCAGGCACTGGATCCACATCTGCGTGAGCTCTGGCTTCTACATCCTGCAGCTCATCTAAAACCATCTTTCTGGGACGTGTTGGTCATCGTACCAAGCGTCTCAAGTTGTCGTTTTTGCAGAAGGACTCCGCTGCGTTCAACGCGGGGTTCCTCCACATCAAGGCCACTGGAGATGATGTCCACAGCTCCCTGCACACGAACATGGTGAACATCCGCAAAGGATCAAACAGGCTCTGAGAAGCTGTCAGCGCCCTTGGTCTCGACCGATATGTCCTGATTCCTCTATGTTTTCGGCCGACCTCCCCCCTCCCTACTTAATTAAGTAGGCGCCTACTTGATCAAGGAAGGAAGAGTCAGAGTAAGCTACAAGGCCAAGTTGGCTTCTAGGTAGGAAACAGGATAGCTTACGCTTCTCTTCAAGGAAGCTCCCCCCACCTGAGGTAGCTTCCTTGAAGAAGCGCTCACACTAGTAGAAATGCCCTTAGTAGTACGGCCAGGAGCCCCTAGTAGTGTCCTTGTTCCTAGATTTGTTGGGAAACTTCCCAATAGGCCAGTTGCCTGCTCTGTGCAGATTGCTAGCGCGCCGTTCCTGGGATTGAACACTTGGCACAGCTTGAGCAGCGGTTTGCTTATTTTTTCAAGCACGTTTAGACATACTCCACTTGACTCACCTCTGATCAGTCTCAGTGGCGCCGGCTGGAGCCACGCATGATCCATAAAAGTGGCAGCGAAGTGATCAACAAGCTCTTCAACTGGCTGCAGCGTTATCATCTCCTGCCCACTGGCCACAGCGTTCTGATCAAATGTGGTCGTTTACCGCATAGGTATTGCTGGTATTGGCAGTCTGCCTTGGATTCCAGCTTCTCTGACTCCTCCGGAGAGGAGGTGAAGTCCCTGAAAGGCAAACAGCATCTTCCAAGTTTTGTTCAGGAAAAACTGAGATGAAGACTTCAACAGCCAGAGCTCGAAGGTGTTTGGCCCAGTGCCGGAAATAATATCTGAGTCCAGAGTACTGAAAGCGATCCTTAAAAGTCAAGCAAACATTCATTAGCGTCATTTGGTGTCCTTTTTGGATCACAGCATCCGGCTCCAAAATGGGGTTCAACGTTCTCTCTTCCAAACACTCTCTCTGTCTTCTGCACAACTCAAGATTTAAATATATGTACATGAATATATATATATATATATGTATCCTCTGCTCCCAAGGCTCCGCGTGAGAGGCTCTTCAATCATAAAGCGGCCAATGACCTCATTGAGTCTCCAATCCAAGACGATGATCTGTGCGTAGTGCCCTGTGGAGGACACGCAAAGCCTGGAGCTGTTTGAGATATGGAAGTGTGTTGGAATTGGGAGACTGCCAAGTACACTAAAACGCATTGGATTGGAGGCTCTCCCTATTCTAAACGATCATTCTAAACACGCTCACATACAGTAGATGGCACATGCCCAACAAATCCTCGGCACACTACTTTTGAGTTGTCCATTGTCAATGGGAGCAAAACCCAGCAGCGATCTGGTTTGAAGGTCCCACCAGTTGACACGCCCGACGCGAAGGTCCTGTCTTTTCCAAGAATTGTGTCTCATCGATTTCGATGGGCTTCATGAAGTCGAGAATAAAGTTAGGACAGGATAAGACAGGATAAGTGGGGACAGGATGGCAATGAAGTCGAGAGTAGGTCGCCCCCTCTCGACCTTCTTGCAAAGTTAGGACAGGATAAGCAGGTCCTTCAACCCAACCAGTTTAGTTAATCAATCATGTGGTTGCTCCTTAAGGTTCTGATAGGAGGGAGGAAAAAGAAGCGGTACTCAACTCAAGTCCTTGAAAGCTTGTCCTCGCATACAAGTAACTTCCCTCCAAAAACAAAAAGGGTGGCTTCCACAACTTGCTGTTTGCATGGATTTTGATCTTCTGATTCTATTGGATCCCTTTCACAGGCATCCAGTGCCTGCAATTGGAATCCTCCGCCACTCCACTAGCGATTGAAACAGAGGAGAAGGCCACTGCACTCAAGGGACCCACGGGGCCATCGCGCCCATGCAATTCCTGCTGGGGAGCTTGGGAAGCCGAATACGCATGATGTGTTTCAATGTATTTCCCAAAAAAGAGTGGAATCGAATGTTATATATAATTGCAATCCGTTCATTCTCCTTCACTATTCTTTCAGAGTGCATAAACCGGACTGTTTACACTCTGTCTATAGTGAGTCGACATGGAATGAAACTTGCACTCAGAGTTTTTGAAGTTCTGTGGCAAATCTCTTTCTTCCCGAACTTCTTCGCAGACCCTCTGACCTCCAGCGTCTGCACTGGCCGATTGGTGGCATGGGGTCCCAACTCATAGATGGAGATGCTACAACGTTCCATGGCACTGCGGCACACGGCCAAGAAGGATCGGTCTCGCGAGGCAGCACAGGCCGTGATCACCTGCACCATCGGGTCCAGCCGGGTTCCAGCCATTCAGTCCACTCAGTGTTCGCTGAACTTATTTCTCTAGCGTTTCATTCAGGTTCACCAGCGATCGCCTTGCCTGAATGTCCCCTTTCTCTGCTGCAAAGCCAACCTGTGAAACGAGAACAAGCATGAACAAGCTGCTGGTGAGTGAAGTCCTTCGTGTTCCATAGGCACAAAGCTACTGCCGACCGCGTCAAAAAGCAAGGGAGGAAGGCACTACCTGGCCTCACCCCCCAAGAGATTTCGGAAGACCAATTGCCGACCGACCACATGCGCCAAGTATTGCCCGGCGATGTCTCCTCAGCTGGGCTAGGTGCTGACTCACAAGTGCTGCAGGATGCAACTGTCAAACAATCTGCTGGCTCAGTCACCAAAGAGCAGTGCATCACGGATCTTGCCAGCATGCGACCCAAATCCATGAGCAACCTGAGGTAGTGCTGACATGGATCAACGGTCAACTGTTATGGACCTAGCCGCTGTCACAGCGATAGTTTCCAGCTTGCAGGGCCTCTGACAACTCAGGCTACCTGCTTGTTAAGTTTGAAATGAGTAATTGCTCCAAATCCAAAATAAGTGCCTTTTCTAGATTTCTAGATTGAAAAGGACAAGGAGGCAGAAAGAAAGCACTGGCGTCATCTGGCGTCTACTGGTAAGTCTCGGCACCTCTAGCAGAATACCAGAGGAAGCGCGGTCAGCAGCTGCACCTGTCACAGCTATGCCAGTTCCTACGTGCGATGCATGTACATTTAGTTTAATTTCACTGCATGTGCTCTCAGCAACACGCACCCACACCACAATCAAACAAGCATGCCATTGATTGGCATGCACCTGTTTTTAAGAAATGGGCGTGCAACTCTTGGCAAAATTGATGATGTGAGTTTTATATAGTGTCCTTCTTTTTTGCAAGCACAATGCGGTTCACAGTTCACCTCATTAGCTTGTCCTATTGGCTCTTCTTCATTTCGTTCGAGCCTTTGTCGCCTGCCGCTGTTCTCTCAGGCATGGCTTTGAGCCCATGGCAGAACAACTGCTGGCGCTAAAGGCGCTCTATGTAGTGGTGACGCTTGGGGTGATCGGACAAAAGTTGCTTGTTGGAAATACGTTGCTTTTGGTCTTTTCAATGAATGCACATGTCTATTAGTATATATCCAGACTATGATAGGCTTGAGAGACTCGAATTTACACTGGCAAAACCTACCTACAGACAAGCTCTTTGAGCGCGCACACGTTTGCAAAGACCAAGTCGAGAGGCATGCTTTGGAGAACGCAATGATTTATATACATAATAATTTTACCAGCTCGACAAGTGCAGAACACGTGTTATTAGTAATGAAGTCATCAAACAAGTCGCAGATTGCACGCTTTTCCGAACGGCCATCAGCTGAGACAACCTGCAGAACCTTCAGCCTCGGCAAAACATTGAAGCAAAACATTGAACGAATGTCTTTCAATTCCGTCACCACAGCAACCTCTTCCAGAACTTTTGCAGCAGGATGGGCCATGAACAAGCAACCCCCGCATCAAGCCCATTTCAACATCAACAAAAGCTATGGATGTGCGTTGTTTCTGAAGTGAAGCCAGCAAATAGAAACCATGTTCGCTACTAGTAACAAAAGTGCATCGCTACTAGTAACAAGTGCCCTACTACTAGGAACAATGTCTGCTAGTAGAAACAAGAAGCTACAGTGATGGGATGCCAAAGGGTCATCTTAAATAGAAACAATGTTCGCTACTAGTGCTTTGACTCTGACACTCGTAGTAACAAGTGCATCGCTAGCAGTAACAAGAAGCTATTAGAATCAAATTACTCCAAAACAAAGAATTGAACACAAAGCCGTCAGGTTCTGGCCCAGCGTGGTGGCAAACTTCCAGACGGCTTCATCTGCGACTCCTCACCTTGGAATTGGGATGCTGGTCATCCACCTGAGCATAAACGGCTCCAATTCCTCAGCTTCTCACTGTACACGTCCAACGATACAGTGGCCTCAGGTCAACAAGTCCTACCAGGTCCTACCCTCTAGCATGGAGACTGCATGAGATTATCATACCTTATCATGTTCTAATAGCCATGGCTTCCACCCTAGAAGCGATGGCCTCCAACCTACTAACGATGGCCTCCAACCTAAAAGCAATGGCCTCCACCCTCTAGCATGGAGACTATATGAGATTATACCTTACAGTATATCATGTTCTGAAATCATCAATAAGAGGACACCGAGAGCGTGGTCAAAAGCAGTTCCTTCCGCAGTTCCAGAGCCAGCTGTGTGCGTTGATTTGCAAGGCCTTGTGGGCCTTGGCATCGATGCGCTTCATGATACACTTCAGCTGGTTCAACCTCGGTTTCTCGCGGAGGTTCAATGACAAGCAAGGCAAGCCCCGGTCTGCCGAGTGCGAAGCGGTCCACATTCATAGAACTCACCACAACCATCCTGTGCATCAAATATGTGGCACAAAAGCAGGTGTACTTCACATTCTCCTGGTGCTCCCAGCCAATAAGAGAGGCCTCTTTCTAAAGCTTCAAGGTTGAGTTGAGTTGTAAGCATCTAGCGACTACAATCTCATCAGCAGTCATCTGCTGTTAGCTTCCTTTTTCAAGGCCCCTAGCCCATATTATACTGCTTGCGTCCTTTTCTTTGGGATCGTGTCTGCCGCTTGTTTCAGCTTCAAGGGCATGCTGAAACACTGGACTTTGACGCTAGCACTAGCACTAAAGTCACACTATACAATTAGAGAAAAATAGAGATAAAAAATAGAGAGACACAGAGAGAGAGAGAGAGAGCGACTGAGGCAGCACAACAAGCTTTGTTGCTGTCTGAAAGTGTTGCCCTTTCTGGGAAACATGGTCAAGTCATGCCGATTCCCGTCGTGGCACAAACTGTGCACACTTTTGTTTGTTGTTGTCGGGCACCAAACACAGCGGTGTCGATGTATTGATCATGAAGCATTGAGTCGTGCCTCCTGCTCTCTGTTTCGTGATTATGGCCCACACTTATTAGGCAGGAAGTTCAATGATAGTCTCTGGGGCACAAGAAAACCTGAACCCTTGACCTCTTCAAAAGAATCTGAGATAATCTGAGTTTCCAAAGACTCCTGCAGCATCTGGGCAATCGAGTCCACCCAGTTTGCTGGACTCCTCAGCCTTGGTGTCCGTCGGTAAGTAGTTCTCAGTGAAACCGAAACCTATCAAGCCAACGGCAAACCGCACACAAGTCCTAGAAGAGGGAAAACAAGTATGGGTCCTGCCCAGACTGGTGGATTCTTCTTGCACCAGCTCCAATAGAAACCTTCATCTTCAGATCCCCAAAAGGAGTTGGTCCTCCATATCCGGACCTTTGCTCCGGGTCACCACACCTTTGCTCTGAGGGCCTTGCTGATCCGCCAGAAGCTCTGGCAAGCTGTCGATGGAGCTGCCGGCGGGAACCTGTTTGTCTTCTGTCCCAAGGGACTGAAAAGCGTTCTTGTTCCTAGTAGTAAGGCCAGGAGCCCCTACTAGCTTCTTGTTGCTACTAGTAAGGCACTTGTTACTAGAATCGATGCACTTGTTCCTAATAGCGATGCACTTGTTCCTAGTAGCAATGTGAAACACACGTTTCACGTGACTTTTGGATCCCCGGAGCCTTTGTTCCGCAGCTCAAATACACGTCAATCCTGCATTCACGTGCGCAAATGCAAGCAGTAACTTCAGCACTTAGTTTGTCAATCCATGAGGAAGGTATGATTAGGCAAGCAAAACTGACGGATTTGCAGTGCTTGCAGCAAAACTGCTTGCAACTTGCTGACTAAGCGTGCCAAGGCAAAGCTTGAATCTGTTTGCAAAGTATGGCAATCCACAAACCCCTGCCTTGGTGGGCGCATATGGCTTTTGAAGCTTTGAAGGAACTCAAACCTTACACGTCAAAAATGAAGCTTCGGTGGTCTAAGGGCACTTCGGTGGTGCTTTTTGATGCTCCAGTAGCTTGAGGCTCAGGTCTGAGCAACTCTTCTCTGGCAGACGCCATCAATCTGGTGTGACAAGCGCCAGCCTTATTGATTCACAGGGATATCGACAGGGCACTCAAAGGACTAAAGGATACTAAAGGTAACCTTTTCATAAAGCAGTCCATCCAGGAACTCTGAAAAGAATCGAAAGGGCCACAGCTCTGAACCTCTATAAGGAGCCTGCAAGCTTCAGCAGCTGCACCTGTTAGGAAAAGCCAGCTTGGATGTCTTAACTCCCGAACCTCTAAAGCAGGTGGTTCCTACCACGTTTATAGTCAGGAGCTTTTGAGGAATCTCTTCAGAACGGACATCAGCATAGGAGCATTGACAGTACCATGCTCAAATGAAGCTTGCACAGCAACTCCAGCTCCCTTCACCCCACCTGCTTGCAACCTTGACTTCTCCTCGCACGATCCATCAGTCTTTCGATTGCTTCCAAAGAGCCGGAGCAAACATAACCTGCAAAAATGATTGTCGCAGCACATCTTTGTGCCCTACTAAAAGCCAAAGGGCTGTCAAGAAACCAACAAAAAACAGCTCTATTGAAGCTACGTAAGAAGAACAGAAGTAGCTTCCCAACCAGAAATCCTTACATTCAATTCAACTGGTGCGCCAAGAGATCAGGCCTTGGGGAAAGAGTCGCTGAGCGATCTCACAAATAGAAGACCTCAATTTGCAAGATGCGCGCATTACAATCAACCGGGTCGACTATATTTGTAATATGTATATATATCCATTCAATTGTCTAGTGATGCCTCTTGAACATTGGCCACCTCAAAAATGCTCAAACAAGGTGCTCTCGACATTCTTCACAGAGCTGACTGATGCGTTCCTGGCAAGTGGATGGCGAATGAGGTGAACGGTGGCTGTGTCCAGTGCTTGGCCAACCAACAAACGGATGCCTCTGTCAAGCCAGCAACAGCCACTGCAGCTTGAGGTATCGTGGCAATGGCTGCCTGTGATTCACGGAAGAAAACAACACATAGCAAGTTACAAAGCAAGTTGCCTTCCTTTACTTTGGATTTATTAGCTCTCTTCCAATCTCGTCTTGCAACTCGTCATCGACCGAGTCGGTGCCCGCTATTGTGAGCCTCCATGAGCTCACCCCGCAGCTGGGTGGCACGAAGACCTGTCTGAAAGTCCCACACGCCAGCAAAGGTCAGTGCAGCCTCCCAAAATGGGCACACGCGTGGCTCATGATGCTGCATGCTTAGCAACTCAGTGCATACTGCATACTATGTCGCGCCGCTGCATACTACACTCAGCTCACACGCCCACTGCCACAAGCTATCTTTCTGGCATGTAGCTGCGGTCAACCTGTTCAATTGGCAATCGCTCCCAACGAATCTCCAGCTCACCATGGCATTCGCCCCGCATGGCGGCTGATTCTGCAATCTGCGATTGCGGTCCCCCTAAATCGGCCTTTTACAAAGAAAATGCCTGGCTTTCAAAATGGCTCCCTCACGCACAATAAGTGCGTTGAGGATCTCGCCACCAGTTATATTTCTTCCTTGAATACTAGGGTAGCGAGATAAAATGTTTAATTCGTTTAACAAGCCAAGTTTTCGGGCATCCGCAAGGACTTTGTCATCAAGCGGCACCCCCTTTGCTCGCCTCAACAAGAGGCTCTTTGCAAAAAAGCAAACCCCGTTGCAATGCTGGAAAGCTGCCAGGACTTCATATTCATTGGCCTGATCCTTCATTTCATTGACCAACTTTGCAAACTCTTTGCTGCAGAGAGGCTTGTGTGCTTCGGCAGTCATCACGGTGCTGAAATGAGGTCCTCCAAGTTTGATGTCGTCGTTGAGCAACCGTTTGGCACACATGTGCCCTCCCGTGTAAAGGAGGGCCTCAAGGATGTCCCAAGGCTCAAAGCCGTCATCGCAGGCGGCCAATGCCGCCCAAGGGGCGGCAAGACCCAATTCATGTGCCACTGCTTCAGCACCCTTCTTGGCGTAGTACTCATCATAGATCTCCTTCACTGCTTCCGCGAGGTGTTTGCCTTTGCCTTCCAGCTTCTCCCACCTGAAACCGCGCCACCCTTCAGACAGCAGAGTGGTAAATGGGTACTCGGCATAGA